AAACATCTACAGTCTATTTATAACAAATGGATAATAAAGTGTATATGTCGTATGTATGGATAAATGTAAAATAAATTAAAAATAAAAAATAAGTGTATAAAAAATGTAAAAAACATTACATAAAAATTAAAAATATAAAAAATATATAAAAAATACAAGTGAAATAAAATTGAATAAATATAGCAAAAAATAAATAAATATATATATATATAGCAATAAATAAATATATAAATAAACTTTCAACTTTCAACTTTATTATCATCCATAAATGAAGTATTACATAACGTAATAATTGTGTTAACTCTTGATCTTTATTCTCCTTTTAATTCTAACACGACAAATTAAATTCTATAATACAAAGGGACAGTTATGTTTCTTGTTTTAATTAATCGTGAATCATTGATACAGGTGCTTGTAATTTATATGAGGTATCAAAATATCTAACTCAATAAAATGCAAAAATTGAATTGAACGAATAAAATGGAAAAGATATAGATATTGAGTTTTCTTTTGTGCAATATATAAAAGATGCATTTTGTTTGAACTATAATAAGAATACATGTATAATACCTAATAATATAATACATAAGCAAATAAAAAACTTAGTATTATTTTTTTTTTTTATGTATTTTTTATTTTTTTAAATTAGTGCATTTTGTTATTGCTTTTATTATTTGTTTTGTGTATTTCGTTTAATGAAACATACAATATTTATAAAATTTTTAATTTCTTAAATATGCCATTAATAAACGAACTAGTCTTTATTTTTTTTCTCTATGTTTTTAAGTAGTAAATAATTCATACAATTATGATTGTTTTAGAACTCGTTTACTGAATCATAAGAAACACGCATGAGCAGTTAATGTCGATTAAAGATGATTATATAATTACAAAATGATTTTTTGATTGTGTGTGTACATGAAACTATATAATTTTTTTATTCAAAAATGAACATATTAGTGGAAATTTTCCATTCATTCGTGGCAAAGAATTGTATAATTTCTGTACTTCTTTTTCTTTAATGGATCACTTGGCTGCTGATGATCCATGATAGAAAAATTGGAATTCACTACAATTTATTTTAAATATTATTTTATTTTATATTATTATTCTTCTATTGTTATTTTTAATTTGATGTGTTACATCATATTCAGAAATTTGCATGTGTCGTAAAATTGATGTACTCATTTATATATTCATATATTCATTTCGATTTAATTAGAGAATCCTTTCCTTAAATTTCGGTTCTTTCATTTTTTTTCTTACTAATTAAATTTATTCGGATTTTGCTTTCAAAGTTTCCATTGATTCTCATTTCTTTATTATATATCTGATTTATTAAAATGAACAAAAGTTTCATTTCTATTTAATCTTTCATAATTTTATAATTTTTTATTTGCAAGTACTTGTTTTTTTTCTAAATTGATAATTAATATACAAAATTTTAAGAACAATTCTTATATTTTAAAATGACTTATAATTTGTTTAATTTAGATTTTTTTTTTTTATAATTTATTTATTCTTATAAAAAATAATCTGTTATTAGATTAAATAAATTGCAGTGATTAGATATTATGAGCGATAAATTAGCAATTAAATTAATATTTAAAATTTAATATTTCGTGAAAACTTTGTGAAAATTTTTTAATCAAAATATGATCTTATTTTCTTAATGCTTTTAATTATATGGTCGCAATAAATAAGTACGAAATATGATGGAATATTGCAAATTTTATTATACGTTTATATTGTATATAATTGTCTCTCGAATAATACGCGAATTAGATCGCATATAATTTTTCAATTTAATATTTAATTGCATAGCAGATTAACTACAATAATCCACAGTATTCCATTTATCTTTAAACCTTATTTATTGAAACGAAATTCTTGTTAATACTTGACTAAATGAATTGCCTATTGAAATTATTTATCTTTTATTATCCTATTATAATTCTATCATAATTGAATGAGAAATTATAATAGTGAAGATAGAATCATTGAAATATGAATGCATGAACTCTCACTTTTATGTCAATTGTTTGTTTCTTAATAAATAGAGTTATATTGTGTATTGAAAGCCATCTTTCATATTTTAATATCTAATTAATTGATGTTATATTTATAATTTTATTATTATTCATAATGATAGACGATAAAAATAAATTTAATAGTTAATTTATAATGTGTACTTACATGAACTTCGAAATTTTTGATGAAATAAACTTAACCTATAAATTAAATATAGATTAAAAAATGTTGCATGAGATTAATAATAGATATAATTATTGGTAATAATTTCATAAAGATTTATTGAAAGATTTGTTTGTCATTGAATCAACATATGGAATATTTTTGATTGTTTCTTGCTTTTGATATAATGTAATTAAATTTTTATCACATAAAATGATAAAAAGAAAAATAAACCAAACATGCAAGAAAAGATTCCATGATACTTAGTTGCCAGTTTTCTTTTCATAATTGCTGTACATATGTCAATATAAACGCAATGCCGTTTTTATTAGCATTTAGTTGCTATTGCTTTTCACGTAATAATGTAAACAAAAATTATATAAAATTATATGTGTATATTAATAATCGAAATATTTTTTTTTTAAATTCAAAATACAAAGAAAAAAGAAAGAGAAGTTGATAATTATAGGATGAGTTTTTTAAAATATGAAACAAAAGAAAATATATAAAAAATTTTCTATTTTAAAAAAATGCGATTTTTTTTTCTTATTATATTTGAACATGATTTTGAAAATATTTTATTATTATATTTTCTAAAATTTAATCCACAATTTAATTATTTTTTTTTTTTTTTGCCTTAATTTATGTGAAAATTACTGCTATGATGAATTGGTAAATGTATGTTGCCTTGACTACCAATTCACTTACAAGGTCGGATTCGTAATAATTCTGTATGATTAATATTAGATATCCCGTGTGAAATTTATTTAAATAAAATTTTAATCTTTTATAAGTTGAATAAGAATATTTAACTATTTATTTACATGTTAATTCTAAATGAATTACAAAATACTACATATAAAAAATTAATTATAAAATAAATATCACATAGTATAATATTTTTAAAAAATATTTGATTTAGAAAGTTATATAGAAAAAGTTAGTTAATTTCATTAAATATCTTATTTATTTACATTCAATCATTTGTATTTATAATAAATTTTTATTTTCTATATCTAATCTTGCAAGTTTTATTATTTTTCCTTAATTTCACTTAAAATAGAAATATAAGCTTAATAAATCCAGTTATAGATCACATCCTATATAAAATATGCTTACAACCTGACAAATTTAAAATACAAACACGTAGCATGAAACTTTTTAATATATATTTACTATATTTTTATATTCTATTAGTTTCAACAGTCGTCCAAAGAAGAAAGAGAAAAAATAATAAAAATAGTCAAGAACGACCTTCGAAACGTTCGAAATATTTGCACGTGCGTGGTTAGGGTTATGATATCAGTTAGACTTTGGGAACGTCATTTGAACGCTTACTCGTAGGCGACTGGCAGCATGCGTGTATATTTTCCGGAATAACACGCGATTCCCGCGTGAGTGATGCGTGATGCCTAATGCGTGTTGCGTGATATGTAGGCGCACCTCTCTTTCTACTCTATCGAAAATAAATCAAGAGAATCCTTTATACTTGTATACCACTGCATCTAACACGTGCGAATGGATCCTCATTAATATTACAAAAATACGCGTTCCTGCTACCATGCGGCGCCACCATTCACCTAACTCTAAACCAATGTTCTTCGATAAATATCGAAATGAACGATTCGAATGTAAAAGTTAGATGTGTTAGAAATTTTTTTCTATTTGAGACTGAACAGAACTAGAACATAATCAAATTTTGAAATTATTTCCATTTTTCGAGAACAATTTTTTATAATATGAAAAAATTAAGATTCCAGATAATCAAAATATTGAAATATGTGATATTTGAATAATATATATGTATATGTATTATATTTACAGAATATATTTATTTACAATTTTTATCATGTTGCAGCATTACAATGTCACGTGTCATACTGAAGGAATCGCCGAATGCGGCCTTAGACAAAACCTTGTTAAATAAGTACCTCGACCTGCCTCAACCGGAAAATAAAATTCAAGCGAAATACATCTGGATTGATGGTACCGGTGAAAGCTTGCGAAGCAAAACTAGGACGGTAGATTTTATACCAAAACATCCATCAGGTTAATTTATTTTATTATATTTTTTTTTTTGTAAAAATATAATTTAACATCTTAGAAATTTTTAATTCTAAAACCTAATATATATATTTTTTTTTAATTTCTGAATAAAATATGTTTCAAGAAAATTTAAAAAAAAGAAACATTAAAAATTTATAATAATTTGAATAAAATTTTATAAATAATTTTATTAGATTTTCATTTGATCACTTGCGGAAATATTTCATGATATAAAATATTGAACAGAAAAAATAATATTTTCTTTGTTTATGAAAAAAAATCAAATATCATAATTATGGATTAAAAACACAAACATGACAAAAATATGAATATAATATTTTAATTCATGACTTGTAATTTATTCAAATTGATATATCTCATATGATATTCTTATGAGTATTCTCTTTCAAAAGGACACATACACCGAAAACCTCATTTAATATTGATTACAGAAACTTGACCATGAATATGTCTTATATCTTCATCATATTATATCATTATGAATATAATCTTATTATCTATCTTCAATAACTTTCATTACTTATTTATTTATCTCGTTTTATTGAAGTATTCTTTGTTTCTTATATTCTTTTTGTTAGAAAACTTAATCTAATATTAATTTCAAATTACTTAATTTAAATTATGAAGATAAAAAATCTGATTTATATTTTCTACATTTATTTGCGAATAATATTGCACTTTTTAATTAAAATTTATATAAATAATGAAAAAGCAATTTTTTAACATAATAATAAATATAAACACTAATACATATATTTCGATTAACTAAAATTTATTCATATTTTAAATATATATAATGCTTGTTGCAAAAGTATTCAATTATCATACAAATAATGCAACATTATTATTTAATTACATTAAATATTATATCACGATAGAAATTATATTTGATAAATTATATTTAAAATTTTATATATGTTAAATATTTTCATTTCGAAATATTCATCATTTTTTCATTTTTTATATATGGATGTAATTCACGAATGATATAAGATGAATGTTAATAACATAACAATCTGTAAAATTATTACTGCATTTTATACTCGATACATTAGTTTCAAATGTTTCTTAGTAAACGAATAATCTTTATGATATTCTACATACTATTAACTATAGCGCATAAAATATAAAAACATTTGAATATCAATGATCAATAGATTCGATTAAGGAATCTGGAATGTTCTTCAAATTATAAAATTAATATTGATATTCAAATATATTTCAATGATTGAAAATCATAGTTATGTTTTTCAAGTAATCTTTTGGATTGCAGCAATTTTTCAGTATCATTTAACTGAATCAATTTAATATTATTGGTATTTTTAAAAGATTATATTATTAAAATTTTATTATAAATTTAATATTATTAATAGATCAGATTAAAACTATAAAGAATTCCACAGTATATAAATTAAAGTAAAAAAAAAATATAAAATTTATATCAATTATATATTAGAAAATATTTGTTTAATTAAATATCAATTTCTTCTTTTCAGATTTACCAATATGGACCTTCGACGGTAGTTCAACTTACCAAGCAGACGGCGCAAACAGCGATATTTTCCTATGTCCGGTGGCAATTTATAACGACCCCTTTCGTCGTGGAAATAACAAATTAGTATTATGTGATACCTACTACAGTGACATGACTCCAACTACATCTAACAAACGTTCCAAATGTAATCAGGCTATGGAAGCTATTAAAGATGAAGATCCATGGTTCGGAATTGAACAAGAATATACTTTCCTTGATTTTGATGGTAGACCACTTGGTTGGCCAAAAAATGGTTTCCCTAAGCCTCAAGGACCTTACTATTGTGGTGTAGGCGCCGACAAAGTAATTGGTCGCGAAATCGTCGAGGCTCATTATCGAGCTTGCCTTTATGCTGGTGTAAAAATTGCCGGTACTAATGCAGAAGTTATGCCCTCACAATGGGAATTTCAAGTCGGTCCATGTAGTGGAATATCTGCTGGGGATGACTTATGGATTGCTAGATTTATTCTTCATCGTGTAGCTGAGGAGTTTGGTGTGATTGTTAGTTTAGATCCGAAAATTATGGATGGTTCGTGGAATGGTGCAGGTGCACATACAAACTTCTCGACAAAATCGATGCGTGCCGAAAATGGTATTGCCGAAATTGAGAAAGCAATTGATAAGTTGAGCAAGCAACATCTAAGGCACATTCAAGCATATGATCCACGCGGAGGAAAAGACAATGAGCGACGTCTGACTGGAAAATGCGAGACCAGTAGTATATACGACTTCAGTGCTGGTGTGGCCAATCGTAATGTTAGTATTCGCATTCCTCGTGGAGTTGCTGAAGAAAAGAAAGGTTATTTGGAAGACAGAAGACCTAGCAGTAATTGCGATCCTTACTCGGTGTGTCATGCTTTGGTGCGCACTTGTGTCCTAAATGAATAAAAAAACTTCAAATTATTTCCAAACAGGCAGCGGAAAGGAGAAATTGGACGAAAAATTTTGTAGTGCAATAGTGATCGTATCTTCGTGAAGCATATTCAATGAAAATGTATGTAAAATTATTTCTAAAATTAAAAATGTAAAAAAAAAAAAAAAAAGAGGATAAATGCGAGCGAGATATTTGATAGAAACATAAATTTACTTTTTCTTCTTTTGTTTTAATGTATTTTGCAAAATTTTTGCAAATCAAACGATTTATATTTTTTATTTAATATGTTTAAAGAATATAATAAGATCGTTAAAATTATATATGTATACATTAAATATTAAGAGAAAGTTATTTTTCGATTATTTTCCGCGCACAGAATGTTTAATGCTTTTTACAGTTATTTAATTATAGCATCGCAATAAGATGAATTTCATTTGTTATATCGTTTAATATATTGCATAAATGTTTTGAAATCAGAATGATTCATCAACTATTGTTCATAAATCTTGGTGCTCATAAGAAGAAAATAGAGAAGAAAATATGTATGTCAAATATGAATATGTATACTATATTTCAATGATATATTGCATTTTTTGGAACAAATTTTGCGATCAGTTCATATGCAATAAATCATCTGATTGTTTCCTTCCTGAGTGCTATGATTTAAAATATTAGGATAACAGATTTTAAGGCTAGACGCGATAATCTTATGAAAGTACTATAAAACTGCATATATTTAATCTTCCGCATCTCTTTTGTTTTTTAATACATTTGAAAATGTATATTTGGTTAAAATACTACAGTGATATGAAACGATTTATATATTGTTTATAAAATTTATCATTTAAACGAATATTATTACAGAATAAAGTAAAATAAATACATAACGCTTAATATTATATAAACATTATGTTTTAATAAAATATACGTATTTTTTGAATAAATATAAATATCTTTTGGTACCTGAAATGCTAGAATGAGTGCCATCGATTATATATCGCTATAATGATATATTATATTTTATAAAGGCACAATAAATTGGAAAGTTCAATAAACACGTCCTTTATCACATTTATCGTTTGAATTATTACTCGCTTATTGCGAAAGCGATAATAAATATTAATTATTATGTTACTATAAATACGTATATATATATATGAAAAAAAGGAAAGTCGATGTAGGTGTGTATTTTCATATTTGTATGGTATATTTTCATATTTGTATTTTCTATGCTGACTTCTTTAATGTAATTGTATACCATGACCATTGTTGACAATTTTGTTGGTAGTGGTTATCATTATTGTTGTTATAATAATAAAAAACAACATTTTTGATGAATAATCGATATTTTTTTCTTTATATAGAATATTTTTTTTTTATATTATAAAATAAAAAAATTCTATGTTATCATTAGATGTTAAATTATATAAAAATAAATATTAAATTATATAGAAATATTAAACCAATAATAATTTATGATTTAAATATATATATATTCATATATGTATTATATACATCATATAATATGATCACAGTAATATGGAAAGAAACATAATTTAATTTATATTATTAATATTATTTTCTAATAATTTTTTTTTTATACTGTTACATGTTTATGTGTAATATATATAGTATATACTTGTTTTCATTCTACAAATGGTATTCGTTTTATAAATTTCCTATACCACATGTATGCAGTTGCAGCAGACAAACAATACCATGTAAGAATATAACTTAAATGCTCATTTCGTAATTCCACTATTGTTTGTCCACCAAGCGGATATTTATTTGGATTATTGTTAACAATCATTTCTATATACACAGGAGATGCATCCCCTTTTTTAGCCATAGCATCCACATCTCTAAAAAGTAAGTAAATGTATAATTATTGTTCAATTATTAATATATTAATAAAACTGAAAATTAAACCAAAAATTAAATGATTATTTCATAAGAAATAAGAAATATCCGTTTTTATGTTATCAATTAACTAAGATATTCTTATTTTAAGATAATTATAATCTTTAATCTTATAATCTTTCAAAAGAGATGTAAAAATTATTGATAATTATCAAAATTTTAATCTAAAATTACATTAATGATCAAAATCTCTAAAATTATTTTTTTAAACAATTCTCGATTAATGATATGAGATTTTAATATTATTTATTGCTGTTCATATTAGTTTATTAGAAGAAAAATATATTTTCATTACCTATAATACCACATATTATTATATGGACGATTTTTAGGAACAAAAGGTGGTCTTCGTTCACTTATTCTTAAAATTCCAATAATTTCTGTTTCGCCTTTTATTTGATTTTCTTCTTTCTTTGATGAATGTTTAAATGATTTTGGAATCCAACCTCGATTCACCAAAATTGTTAAACTGTAAAATATTTTAAAATTTTATATCAAAAAAAGAATTTATAATATATTTATAAATATTTATAATTTAAATAAACTTAAAAACTTCTATTTACTCTCGATCTGCTAATTTAAAAGGTGTAATGATATGATATCCTCTTCCTGTTTTATTTATTGCAAAATTAGTTTCTACTGGTTTACCATCTTTTATTAAACTTTTATATCCTATCATAAACTCCTTGTCATATAAAAAAGTTCCTTTTACTTTAATGGGGTAATATTCTTTTGATTTCAAATCTTCTAAACTAAATAAAATCATTTATTATTTTATATAATTTTTCAATATTATAAATTTAACTTGTGTCTTACTTTTCTGGTAATTCAATTGGTTCATGGTTAGTACGGCTTTTCAATTTATCTATTAAACTTCTTTTCCATTGAAGTCTTTGAATTTGCCATGTACCAAGCATAAAAGCACAAATTGGTATGCTCTATTTTAACATTTTTTTAATATAAAAAAATATTTATTAGTCTATAATATTCATTATTTTTAATATTTATACATAATAATATATATAATATTTATGATTTTAACTTACCAATAAACAATATTCGACAAAAGAAATTTTTTCTTTTGAATCATAAGAATTATCATATTTATTTTCAAACAAGTTCGTTTTGAAACTTCTATTATATGGTTTTTGAATATTTATAACATTACATGATAATCGAGATAAATTTTCTTTGCTTAGAAATCGAGAAATGATAACATAATATGGGTTTCTTACTTTCGTAAAAATTTTGATTGGTAACTTCATTATTTATATATATTTGCTTCAACTTTTATAGGTTATGTTTCTTCTACTTTGGAATAACAATAAATATATAGTATTAAATTATATTCATATGACAAATGGAATAATATAGATAATAAAAAAAATAATTTAAAGACAATAAAAAAATTTTTGCTTTTATTTATAATTATAATAATGAAAAAAATTAATGATAAAATTTAAATATATAATTATATTATTAACATTATTATTAACATAGAAAAAATTAAATGTTATAATAAAGTATTATAAATTTTATAAGAAAGTATTATAAAGTATTATAAATTATTATTTGTATATTGAAATACAGAAATTCTTTTTTTATTTTTAAGCAAAACTCATATTTTGATTATTATTATCACATTATGATTATTTT